ATTTCATATTGTAGGCTGTGTCTCACCCCCCCCCCCAATAGATACTGCAGGAGTGTGTATATTATATATCACTGACAATATAATGCAGTCCATGATAACAACACAAGAAACAATGGCCTTAAAAGGGACCTCAAGGTTGAGTTACACTTCTGACACAAATTTAGAATTTCTTGTATGGCTGCTGGATTGGACCCCACTCATCACAATTAATGCACCCATGTATACATGCTTTTCAATTCCAAGTGTCTTCATGGCATGGAGTTCAAGTGTAGACACAGAAGGGAACATACTGCTAAAGCTACTGAAGCGTGCAGAATTTGAGACTTTCTGTCTTTGAGATAAGCTTAGTGCCCACCTGCTGATAACACTTCCTCATCAAACAACCTCAGCTATTAGTTAATAACCCCCCAACGATTACCCCCTGCGGAGAACAAAATAGAGGGATAAAGAAAAGGAGGACACGATTGTGGGAAGGTTCTATGTAATGTGTGTTATTTTGGTGGGGGGTTGGGTGACAGCTCTCCCTGACATTTGGCAATTCACTTGGGGTGGGCATTTTTCATCTTGGTCAAGGGCAGCTTATTGGCAACATTACGTTATTAAAACGTCAAAATGCTCACGGTGTTTCCTTGAACATAAATAGACCAACTAGTAGGCTAAAGATCAATCCAAATTGAGTGGGATGGTGCAAACCATTTAATTTAACTTAATGCACACATCCACAGCTAGAAATAAAGAGAACAGGGCCAGGGGGTCCACTGCTATAAAACTCTTTATCTCACAAAGATCATGTCAATAATTTTGACATGGCTCCTTCCCTGTGAACTCATCCATTATTGTTACAATTGTAATGATATTAAACATTATTGACAAACAAAGACGAGGCAGAATCCCAAATCATTTGTTATACTACAGAGGGAGAGCTGTGGACAGAAACAGATGGAGAATCAATAACGTCAGTGGGAGGACAAGAGACCAGGGAAGTGTTATCCTGAAATTAAAATGTTATTTGAAAACGCAGGGTGTGAGTCAAGCACAATCAACGATATTGGGTGAGACAAACAGAGATACTGCTGCACACACACGGAAACACAAACACATAGGTATCTCTCAGACGATGAGCAACAGTCAGTCTAAAGACATACAATTCAATCTATTCCATTTGAAGTGTATTATACCCAATTGCATAACTACAAAAAAGTTAAATGGACCACTTCTTCTCCAGAAGTGTCTCACACTTCTCTCTGTGTACAAATATCAGTTATGAAGTCAAGAAGCCATTTATACTTTGTCGTACCTCCATGAAAGAGATTCCCACACTCCAGACATCTGCATGGATACCATACTGTTCCCCTGATATCCTTTCCGGCTGTGGAGCAAAAACAAACAAAGTTACTCCTGTGCTAACTCATATCTTAACAAGTACATCTTTAAAATGATTTGAAATGAGACTGAACTTCAAAGAATCACTCACCGCCATGTACGCGTTAGTTCCCACATAAGTTTTGGCTATAGAATTCACCAACTGCAAATTAAATTAAGAGTGAAACAGCAAATAATTATGGTGCATATTAACATAAATTCAGACTATTCTCAACAGGCCGTAAGAAGGTACCTAAACACGTATAAATAACCCTTTAGGAGTCATTACTTCTTTGTCCTACATTAATGAATAAAAAAAGACACTAGCTGGACCGAACTTATATTATCCAAATCAATTGACATGCCAGGTTGATATTTTGGGCTGCTCTCAACCCTCACGCAAGGGAACAGGAGTAAGACAAGGATACATTTGCGAGTCTGTGTGTGTGGATACAATGGCACATGCCATCAATGACAAGACTGTGATAATGAGTGTCTGTTCCCTTATGGCTGTTTTTTTTTTTTAGAGCATGCCCTACAGAGAGAGGGGGAGGGAGAGTGCGTATGTGTGACAGAGAAATAAACAGAAAAATAGAGTTAAAGAAACAGAGGACAAGTCAATGCTGCTAGTGTTACACATGCAGGGTGTAAAATTCACCTTGGAGCTTCCAAGGAAGTGGAGGTTAAAAATGAATAACAATTTGCCACAGAAGGGATGGTGTGTGTTTGTGTTTGTGTTAGTGTGTGCGTGTTGAAAACAGAGGCAGAATCCTCAGGGTTGATGTTTTGGGGAACGCTGAAGGTCTGTCCCTGATGATTACATTACAAACACACACTGGTACACACACACACACACACACACACACACACACAATGACTAGGCCATTGTCCGACACCCACGCTTTCCCCACATCTACTGAATACATATCAATGAGGCTTTGCCGTTGTGTGTGTGGGTCATAATTATAACAAGTGATTTTTTAGTGAGGCTGCAGAACAATGGAGGTGGGGGGGAAAGTTAATGTGAGAGGAAGACCCTTGGGATAGCGCTGATGTTTTGAGTTGAAAATGAATGCAGTGATTGACAGGCTGACCATATGCACACAGATCTGCAGACGCACACGCACACGCACACACACACACACACACACACACACACAGGACTGTGGTGAAGAGCTACAGACAATTGTTTTTCTTCTTCTCTCTTCCATCCTCTCCCTCTCACTCTCTCTCTCATGCTCACACAAACAAATCAGTGTACCTGTGTGCTGACACCAAAGTCACAGAGCTTGACTTGTCCCCGGGTGTTCACGAGCATATTGGAAGGCTTGACATCTGCGGAGACAAACTGCTTGATAGAACTGCAACATCAGCACTCTGTAGCTTGTCTTTATCAACTCTGCTCTTTTTTTAATAACACAGAGCCCATGCACTACCTTACTCACCTCTGTGAAGTATCTTCAGGCTCCATAGATATGTCAGGCCTTTCACTACCTAGAGACACCAATGAAAGAAAAACTGTATTCATTTTGACGTCATTCAAGGTTTAGGATAATTAACTTGGTTAACGTGGAGCGATTACCTCCAGTTAAACTACACAAACTGTACCAACTGTACTTATAGGTAGGGGAAAGAAATATAGTGACTTCATGGCACACTTCACTGAGGTGGTGTGTAAGATCCTAAGAGACAAGTCGTGTAGGAAGGATTCATCCTGAAATACCAAAAGGTTTGGATACTGCTGTACTGTTGAGGTGCACACATGTCTCTAATGTTGTATTCATGTTGCCCTTGGATTGGTAATCATGAGTGACACTGCCTGTTTCATAAATGAGGACCACGAGGTACTTATCCAGTTTTTTGGATAACAGACTAGTGGGTAATTGAGGCATCTCAGAAATTTGCTTCTCTGGTGTGCTTTTTATATCTAGAAATAGGCTAAAAACTGTGTTGCCTGAGGGCCCTTGTAGATGGTACTATGGGAGGTGGTGTGACTTGTCTGTACTTCTGTTCATGTCTTAGGTGTGTATCTCTCTACCATTTATGCATGATGTTGTGCTTTTGGCTTCCTCAGACTGTTACAATGGTTTCAACCTGAATGTGATGCCCTCCAATTTTGAGACGATAATTCTCTCTACCAAGAATTCCTCTATTTCAGGAAGGTACTCCACTGCACACTCACTCAACCCAGGTGAGGGGGAGAACCTGCCCAAGTAGAGGAATTCAACTATCTTTGAATCTTAATCACAGGAAAAATAATCCTAAAATTGAGTGCAGTTTAGGTCTATCAGCTGCACTAGTGGAGACTTAGTATCAGACTGTGAAGTCAAGGGGAGAACTGAATTAAACATTAAAGTTCTCAATTTGTCAATCTTTGCTCCAGTCCTCAGGTATGGTCACAAGATTTGGGTAGTAACCTAAATAACAAAACTGCAGATACAAGCAACCAAGAAAATGTTTCTTCACAGGATGATTCGTCTCTCTCTAAAGGGTTGAGTGAGGAGTTAAGCAAGCAGTTAGGGAGGACATCAGTATTGAGATGTTTCTCCTTCACATTGAAAGGAATTCATTGACTTTGTAGTAAGGACACACTGGAAGAAGTAATATATTTGTAAAGTGAGGAGAAGAGGCATATTTTTTTCACCTTTGTACAGCCATCGCAAATGCACTGTTGGTAGCACTCCTATGATTACATCTGCATAGCCACACACGTACATTCTGCACAGCCATTTAATCATTATATTTTTGTTTAAGTATTACTCATTTCCCAGTGTGTAGCACTGCTTTGTGGTGATTTTTTCATTTATGGAATGTGAGAGCTGATTCTAGCCTCTAGGCTCCTGTCATCCATCTCTGATGTACGCCAGCCTCTGAGAGAAATTAAGGAAGCACAAAAGCTCTCTGAAGTCCTGCTGCCTCAAAAGGTGGTGGTGTTAGTGCAACAACTGCAGTGTGCAGCTTCACTCACACCCTCTTGGGTGCTTTTCCTTCTGTGAGAATTAACAACTGTGACAGTGGAAAGGAGGGAAAGCTGTGAATTAGAATTAACACTGACTAAATAGCTGTCATTGTTTGATTACGGACAAAGTTAAAGGGGGGAGACAGAAAAGAGGAGGTGGAAACAGAGGAAGGAAAATGAGTGTGGAAATGAGACATGTATTTATCAACATCAAGGCCATTTCTATCAAAATGCTAGTTTTAACTGAGAGTAAAACGGGAGGGTGAAAGGCAAAGAGGGGAGGATAAGGGGAAAACAACACTGACTTGGTCCGTCACTTCACTAAATAGAAGCTAATTGAAAAATTCACACCTGTGGTTCTCTTTTCTTTTCTTTCATTAATAAAATGAGTTTTCTCCTCAGACCTGTTCTGTACCCGACAAACAAATAACAGGTCACACTGTGACTGCCAGCCACACTAGGACAATCACACTCTAATAGATTACATATTTAAATGTTTCTAAAAACTCCAGCACACACCTTTAAATTCAAATGCTTTTTTACTCAGTAATCAAACTACTAATGGGGAGTATTTCATGAAAACTTACTGCCACTGCAATCCTCCCCAGCACATGCTCTGGAATTCTTTTGTACACATCCAGAGAACCACCTGCAAAAGACAAATTATTAATTCAGGCAGTGATATAGTATCACAAATGTTGTACAGTTTCTTATCTCTAGCTCTCCGCCGTGTTTGGGACAACATAAAAGTCAAATTCACAACCCACAATGCTTTGCAGCCAAAACTTGCCCTTTCCAAGAAATAACTGTTGGTCCTTCTACAAAATTTGAAAATTCACACAAAACAAATATTAAAATACATTTCATAGATAAGCACTCCTGAATGTCATAGCAGAACTCCCAACCCCCAAATGTATTTTTTAATAACAATACATATTGAGTAACTATCTAAAAACATCAAACAAGAAACAAAACCACAGCCTTTTCAAGGAGTTTTACAAAGAGTATAGCTGTCCACCACACACAACATTTAATATGGTTTAAATGCAGAGGACACATTCAATGTACATTTAACTTCAAGACCACCTTCACAATCATATTGAATATATTCACTCTTTTATAATTCCACTTCCAGCCACATTCATTGATCTTTCATTATGCAGTCCAATTTTCACAACAATGTAATTTCTTGTTTGCAATAATCAAGTACAACTGGAAGTGACTGATCAAAGAAACAATTCATGAAGTAAAGAGTGCTGAAAGGTTAGACAGACTTTGCTGACAAGATGGCAAATGTGTGAAACTAGGGAATCACTGGATTAACACACACTTGGACAAACACACACACCTAAAAACATAGACGGTCCCCCATCTCACACCAAAGAGACACACACATACAAACACGCCTACAAATGCACTTAAGTCAAGATTCATCACACCCTTGTAGCTTTTAGCACACAGGCATGCTCAGCATCTCACAGTGGTAAGACGTTCTCTTGATCTACAGAAGTGTAAATGGATATGCAGTAGAGAGACGGAGGACAGTTCCCCAAAGTCTACACAGCTGTGACTATCTGTGAAAACAAAACTTATGATCTACCGGCTCCAGCCACAGAGAAACTTACCGTCCATAAATTCTGTGCATATGGATATCCTGTTCTCTACAAAAAAGGCACTGAAGAAAGTGATGATGTAGGGTGAATCACACTGTAATCAAGAGAAGAGACAATGTGATCATTAAAGAGCATGCCAAAATATTTACCTGTGGTACAGAAAAAGTTGTTTATACATTATCTTCATAATGAAGATTATGTGATCAGAAATTTGAGTGCCAAAGTTTTGTAGTGTGTAGTACCGAATTGTACGCAGGTTTCTCATGATCACTCCTGCTTAAGTGGTAGTGCTCAAAAGCATGATTCAGCAGCATCAATTAACTTTTTTTTGTCTGAAAAGAAACTTTAATTTGTGATTTAATTCCACATACACTGCATGTGTAGGTTGCCTGTGTGTGTGTGTGTGTCCACGTATCACTAATCCTTGGCTTACATTGTAAGACCAGAGGCGACAAATTACACTTTGTTAGTTAGAGTCATGGTTTATTCACAAGGTAGATCTGGTAGGGTCAACATTCAGTGGAGAAAAGAGAAATTGTTTTAGCAAAGAGGAACAGATGTAATCAGTCAGCACTAACCTTATAGAGGATTTCTAATTCTGACATGATCTGCTTCTGTAATTCCACTGTGATATCCAGGGGAATGACCTGTAATCAAACATGGGGAAAAAACATATGGCCTTTAATAAACACAACACTAACAAGTTCTGTTCTGATGGGGCCGACTAGGTGGGGGGTCACTTATTAAAGAGAACTATCAACAACACGGAAGGAGTCCTTACCTTGACAGCTAAAACCCGCTTGCCGAGAAGATGGTAAGCTCTAAAGGGACGAAAGAGAAAAAGAAAGCTGTTATTTGAGTTTATTTTAATGGCGACCGGAGATTTGCGTTTTTATACAGTCCCATTACATCCTTTACAAACCACGAAAAAAAAAGAAGTCACTGTTCCAATATGGTTAATACATTAAAGGACAAGTGTTAAGGATTTGGTGGCATCAACAAAATGCCTCTGTAATTTCTGGTAAAGGTCAGATGTCACCACCCAAAACCAGATCCAGTCAGCCCTATCACTAGTTGTTCCAGACAGAGTTTTGAGTTGCAAGTAAAGCAGCAGTCACAGACCGTCCCCGTAATGATTTAATTATCAAACTCCTTAATGCCAAACATCGGCTTTAGTTACAGCCCTTGAAGGTTAGTTTACGGCACCAGTGACAATACCTCAAGACCTCTCAACATACAATCCTCAAGGACGAATACTGTCCAACAGCTGTCAGGTGATGAGGATGAGGCGGGGGCAGTGTACGTCACACAGGCTGGTTAGCTTGCAAGCAGGCTTAGTAAATGTGATACCTGGCTACTCACCTGTCAGTAGGTCTTCTAGAGAGAATGTGTATGGCGCAAGGTGTGATTAATGTGTCTTAGATTGGAGTATCACATTGCTCTTCGGCTAGACACCTCAAAACTGGCCCAGGCCTTTAATTAATGACACCTATTAGTGCCATGTCAGGTATTTACCTACAGTCAGAATAAACACTGGTCTCTGGGTGCAGCCATGCCATGTTGTATGTGAGCTGTAGTTTACACATCACTGATAATTGTCTAATTTTTTTAGATTGTTAAAAGAAAAAAAACTGACACATACAATTGAAAGGGAATCGACTGTACTTATTTTTCTTAGTGTTGTAAGTGAGTTTGTTTGATCTTTCAACTTTTCTGGAACAGAACTCTTTGCACATAAGGCTGATGGCCTTGTTTCCATGTTGATGTGTCGGTCTTCCTTTAAGCTACAATCAATATCAGTTAAGCATGACTGCTGCCTCTTAATTAAGATGAAGACGTTAATTGAGGCAAGATCGCAAGGGTAGACATGTTAAATACTGACTGGGCAGGTTGTGTGTGTGTGTAAGACAGCCTGAAATGGGATTAAACAGTCTTCACCATGCTAAACAACTTGTAGTTCTCAATGATAAGTCTAGACATAGTGAAAGACATACCCCATCTATGGATGAATTTGACTACGACTTTAACAATTTAAGCACAGCTTCTCAAGCTTTGTGTACGTGGAATACCATGTGCACAAATTTGCTGTTTGTGTGGATATCATTTTTGTATATGTACCTTTTGTATATGTCATCTCAAGTCTCATGCTGATTTAAATGTTTTTCTTATTTTTCTGATGTCTCTGATTAATTTTGGCCAGATTTAAATAAAGGTAAACTGACATTAATGCCACCTACAGTACTTTTTCAGAGGGTGGTTTCTTAAATATGCTTTAAAAAAGATTGAAACGCAATATCCCCATAATATAACTTTAAGCACAACAGGCCTAATTTTGTGTTGTAATGTGTCCTATATGTTAACAATTAAATGATAACCAAACTGTATGTCTAAGTTAGATATATAAGAGTTAAGAAATCCCAAAAGTTGTAACAAATGTATTTTAAGGGAATGTTTTAGGGCTGGAGATTTGGTGTGACTACTGCTTGGTTAAAGCTTTATTCTCAGACTGTCCTTGACCACCTCAGGGCCGAGCATCCCTGTATGAGTTACAGTGACAGGCTTGCGACAGCGGGAGACATGGGGACAAGGTTACATAGCCACCCCCCCATGCCACTTCCCCCTGATCTGACCCCAGTAAACGTGCCCCATTGCCTGGATCTTATTTACACTCCAGCTCGCTCTGTAATAAAAGCTCCATCATGCAGTATTCATAGGGCCTCTCTCTATGTCTCTGAAGTTGGGGCTGTAGGTTAGAGAGACTGGCCTCGTGGATCAGGGCTAACATGGTACCTTTACACTGCCACATGGATGACAGGCTGCCTTTCTCTCTCCCCGACTCCCTCACTTGATACGGTTATAATGGGTCTCCTAACTGACAAAGGCAGACAAAAACCTAAACACAGACACTCACTGACAGACATGTACACACAAACATACACAATGAGGCTTGGTAAGTATCCAGCACAGAAGCAACAAGGCTGAGAAGCTCGAATGTCAAAGTTGAAAGGTTTGTTTTATAGCTTTTCATGCTAAAAAAGTGAAAGTCAATACTCCTTAATTTCATAAATGGACTTTAACATCACTTTTGAGAGCAGGCCAACAGGAAATAGTAAACCCTAATCTCCACAACGTTAACTGGCCAGCCTGGAGACTGTAGGGCTCAACTTACATTAACATTTACTTAGCAATAACAGCAAGAACAATGTCAATAACCAGCAAAAACCGAGGGCTTAACAAGGGCTAACAACGGGGCTAGTAATGAAGGTTCGAGCACAATGATGAATCGATAAGTTTACTGGCTGTTCTTGACTTGACTTCAAACTTGAAAAATGTAAGTTGTACCCAGTATTTTGTTGTTGTTGCTAAGTGCCTACTGCCTCGGGCTGGGGGATTTTGGAGTAATATTGATGTACATTCAAGAGCAACTGTGCAAATGTTAAGCCTCATTTGAAGCAAACTAAATAATGACAGTAGTAGATTGGATGCCAGCCGCATCGCTTTATACTGATTTAGCTTTGTTGTTGTACGGAAGCCCATTTTGCTGCGCAATCCTCGCCGGTATATACATGCGTGTGTTGCTGCTGTACGTAAATTTACTTGACTGACATGTCCTGAAGGTAACGATATTGCTGCGTGAGTATAAGAAATGGTCAAACTACAGTAACTCATTTTGTTGGCAATGTTGTGTAACTTCGATTATCCCCCCGCAGCAAGGTAGAGTGCACTGTGATAGATTAAGTTAATCTAGAAATAATGTGCCAATTTATTTATTTGTCCTACTGACCAATCAACTGATTGAATAGTAGGCACAACTTCAATCGACCATGATTTTTTTTGGTTGACTACAGCCATACTGTTTACATTCAAACACAAAAATATTACTGTGGATTTGTATTTTTAGAGGGCGTATTTGCTCATTGTCAGAACAGTTACACAACACTGCGCCACCTCCAGGAAAGGAAAGTAACTGCTGCGACAGTTTAAACCTGCAGATTTACCTTCTTCCCACTGTACAAAAATGAAGCCAAAATATCCCACATAGGGCTGCTGCCATCTTGCACTGGTGATGTCATATGAAGCCACAGTCTGCACAGTAGTGATCAGGGTTGGAGTCACGTTATCAAGGTCCTCCCTGTACATTCAGTGAGCTGGGCTCAACTGTCAATCATGACATGAAACTCTCTTTTTACAGTATCAAAACCACTACAGCAAGTTTACCACGGTGAGGTATCAAACAGCCACCACAATCTTCGTCTCTAGCACTATCAGTGCACAAATAAGTATTATTCACTCAAGATGTGTTTGATAGGCAGTGTGACACCAGGTGTAAACTGCAAACCTATTCAACTGTTTCTAGACACAATCTGAAAATATCCAATATCAAGATACTAGGTTGCCACCAATTAACCAAAGAGGTTTGGCCCTTCAATATACAGCCTAATCAATGAGGTGAAAAAAACAAAATCAATGGAGAAAATGGGCTGTGAGACTAAAGGAACAGCCATGGGTGTCTAAGTAGATGTCACCACTGCCACAGCCAGGCAAATGTGCTTGTTTTAATTGCACTGCTGGATCCATGAGTCATGAAAATAGCCTGTGTGTCCTTGTTATTGTATTTATAAGCCATAGAGTCAGTTAGATTGGTGGACAAGATGGACCTCTGAGAGTGTGTGTAATAAAAAACAAAGGCCGACATTGATGGATGGCTAGGTCAGCGTGTGGCTATGGAGAGCTGAGGTGTTGGTAACATCCAATTGAGTCTAAATGGCTCTGGGTCATAAATGGGCTAAGAGGTTAAAAGGTGGGGAGTGGTAGTGCTTTTCACACGTGATAAGCCTAATATAAGCTGGACCAAAGGGTAGAGGCTGAAGAGGACAGAGAATTGGTTTCTAACCAAGCAAGAATCCTGTCCAGGCCCCCTCTGTGCGTATGCATACAGTATTTTTTTTTAAAATGGCTAATTTTCTGCTCGATAGAATAAAGCTGACAAATATAATTAAAATACACATTTTGAATGTGTTTTATAAAAAAGGTTTTTATAATCAGAACAAAAATGTATAAAAACAGCCTGACCAAAATGAAAGTGCATACAGCATGTGCCCATGAGAGTAACAACATCGAACATCGAAGTAACTCATTGTTTTCTATGCAAGCCCGCATGTATGATCATCTGACTGACAGGGTTTCCTGTCCTGTTGGACCTGTTTGCAGGTTGCCTTGAGCCAAGATCTTAGCCATTACTCTGTTGAGTACAGTGTAAAAGAACCATTGGCCAGAACTGCAAAAATATAACGCAAGTTGCAATTGTAGTTTGACTGACAGAGTAAATGTCCCTCTTAAGGTACATTCATGTGAGGCAGTCTGTAGTGGTATAAAGTAGTTTTCTTTTTTATCTCACTATTTTATTTAAAGGAAGTCTAATATAAACACAGGTGACAGTACTAATAGTAGTAAAGTAATGAAGACATTTAAATACATTGGGGACAATCAGACTAATCCATGCTAATGTAATGCCCTTTTCTTTTGTCCCTGTACAGAAACAAGCCACAAAGTTTGGGGTTGATTGAGATAGACAGTAGATTAAGGTGATCCTTCCAACCCAGACTTCATGTTTTCATCTCTTTATGCACCTGAGAGGATAATCTCAGCTTTCTGTCAAGGCCTTTACGAAAATCCCACCATGAAAAAGCTTTTGAGAAGACTGGATAATTCTGGTGTACTTACTTTATCATTGTTTTTGTCTTAAAATATGTTAATCTACTTCTGGCATAAAACACTTATAATGAGATATTTATAGATAAGAGAGGATGACTTTATATAAATTGTAATAATTTGAATGGAAGTGAAAAATCCAGCCAAACTGAATACAAGGGGACAACAAAGGAAGACTATTAAATATTTTGAGCATTTTCTGGCTGTGACAAAATAATTAAAATTAAAGAAGCAGGGAAGCAATTAACAGTTACTGATGGAAATTTCTAGGAGCTGATGTCAAGGCCACCAACACAATTAACACCAATTTTGTTACAAATTCACAATTTTGAGTTCCCTCTAGCTCTAGAACATTAGCTTATATTATGCATTTTTATTTAGTCCAGCCTGTAAACTCTAATGTGACAGTTCCACACAAACATATGGTCAAACAGGGCCCTGCATTAAGAACAGTGTGTGTCTGTGATTAGGTCAGACAGAGTGTTGGGTAGCCTGGGCATATCAGAACTGAGGTATGTGAGGACTTCAACTGAATTGAATAGTCAAGGGGTTGTATGCGTGCCAATGCAAAACATCAAGTCAGCGGTCTATTAGCAGTTACACTCATGAAACACTTGGGTTGATGGAGTAGCTGCTCCGTCCGTGTTCTGTTCTTGAACTGGATCTAATGGCAGGTCATACTGCTGGAAAGACTTTGGCAATAAAGGTTTGCCGGTAATGCCTGGTTGAGGGCTCTATTCAGAATGATTTTTTTATTCATCAATGAACCAGCCTCACCAGTGTCATGTTGGAGTCAAAGTAGACGTTCTTCAAACCTTTTGGAGAGGAAGAGGCTGCCCAGCACACGGTTGGTGCTTACTAGGCTACTGCTGACTCAGCAGAGTAGGACTGGCAGGCCAGGAAAGATGCAGCTGTGGTAGTTTTGTAAGTAAAAGCCCAGTTGTAGGGTATGGACTTATGAGAGGCTTTGACAATGACTTACAAGGATCTTTGAAGTTTCTGAAAAAGCATTTGTTGATGCAAATAAGAAAAAGCCATCCCCCTAACTGTCCTCAGCAGGGTGGAGAAATGTTCTCAGCAGGGACATTTGTGGAAGAATGAAGGAGCAAACAAGACATACTTCTGTGCTCTGTCCTGTTGTTAGTGGAGTGTATTAATTGCTGTCATAGATTCAATACATATGTAGATACATGGTCTACGAGCCAATACAACATTGATAATGTTGTAATGATACGACTGACTTGAAATTCAATTTTGATTCAGCTCAGATTTTGACACTAAAATGTTTTAAAAATTAAATAAGTCTATGAGCTTATGAGAGACTGATAATAGCTAAATAATAATCTCATAATTTTTTGATTCCTCAGTGTCATTTCTCTAAAGTTAGCATTTCACAACCCGATATTTTTCTTATACGAAGTTTGCATGAGCTGGCCTCACTCTTTCTGATGCACTGAAGAGCCCAACAATCTGGCAAAATCGGGTAGAACCACTGCTCCTCACAATTAAGAGTGAACTGATATGATTGTGTCATTTGGTGAGGATGTCCTGTGGATATCCCAACACACACAACAAGCAGCAGCATATGGAATACCAATTCCAGCGACGGGCTGTGTCCATTGCCAGTTGTTGCCATTTTTGGGTGATTTTTGTCATTAATGGTCTGCCTCTGAAGAACGGGTGCCGCTGGTCAGAAAAAGCCTCTCAATCAGTAGGCAAATAGCACAAAGAGGCCAGCAAAGAAAGAGAGAGGCAGTGGGGGATAAACAGCGTGTAGAGACAGAATATTTTCATATCTTAAATTAAAAGTTTATTTCGACAAACTAAAGTCAATGACAGGAAAAACGATTGCATTCTATTTATGTCACTTGTTCCAGGGTCCTGGTATTGTGCATACTGGGCCACTGTCATGGCCTACTGAGACTCTTGCTGGAACTGAGTCTTCGTTGTTTGTTATCTGTATTGGTTCTTTTTTCTCCTTCCAACCATAAACATTTCAGCACCAAAGCATATGGATTTCTTACTGTGCTAAATTGACTGAGAAGTTGTCAGGCTTGTAATATTGGCCTTCGCCAGTGCAGTGTAACCATTTCTAGTGCCAAACTTATCAGCAATCTTATTCTCCAACAACTATGAGAGATTGGCTCTTAATGAAACTATTTTAAAGCCATAAAAAGGTAAAAGGTGGTTGAGAGAAAGGGGTGAAAATAAAAAAAAGACGTGTGAAGTGTTATGGATTTGCTAGATAGGAAATTTACTGGGTTTGCTGGGGACTGTGTGAGGCAGACCACTCTGTCAAGTCAAGGTTAGCCTGAGCAGTGATCAATACTTCAATCTCAATAAAACAGCTCAATAGCTAAGGATTGATGGAAAGAAGGAAATACAAGGTGGGGAAAAGAAGGACAGAAGGAGCAACACAAATGCCAACCTTGTCATAACGTTAGCGGGGCAGTAACACATTTGTCTAGCCAGAGAGGATGGAGCTCTTCTGTCCTGGCAGGTAATGTGCTGTACTATAGACGGATTAAGTCAATTGCTGTCATACCTTATAGCCACAAATCGATACCGTATACGTTTGAAACCTTCACACCAAAATATATAAATGCAGGTACAGACACAGACCTGGCTGATAAATGTTACACCAAACACTGAGAGATAAATGGACAAATGAAGGGACGGAGGAAGGGTGGTTAACAATGCAGTATAGCGTACAACACATCAGTCTAAAACTGGCCATTATTGAGACATTCTTCTTTAATATTTGCACTGTAAAGAGGCATCTCTACAGTCTCACTATCAGTTATTGTGCTGTTGCCTTGCAGATATGAGACCAGCAAACACTTACTTGTAAACTGTGCCTCCGTTTCCATGGCCAAGCTGCTCTTGATAGTGGATATCTTGGGCATTTATCTGCAGAGCCACAAACACACATTGATGATACTTAGACTAACGTTAAAACATGAGAAGACATGCAACCAGTGGATGATACGTGTAACGAGAGAGAGAGAGAGAGAGAG